TATTAAACCAAAAATAAATTACTATGTTATTAAATCTAAATTAAATTAGAGAAGTTACAGTAAAAAAAACTAGAACTATTAGATAGTTAATTTGATACTATTATTGATTTATTTTTTTTATAAATTTTTATGTTATCTTCAAATTGATATTTTAATTCAAAAAAAAAAAAACATTATCATTTGCTCAAAACCACATAAAATCGTATTATATCAATAGAGACAAAGAATAAAAACTAAACAATAATTTTGAGATTTATCGCGCTACATTGCGCGAATAGCTTTCTAGTAACTTACTAATATATTTGAACTTTATAAAACTAACTCACAATTAATTGATAACAATGTTCAAATTAAAGATAAACGTTAAACCCTACTAATACAACAAAAAATTCTATAAACTGATAACCAATAAAAAAAACTATCTCGCTCTCTTATAAATACACAAATTCATAAATAAAAAAAATTGAAATATAAAGGTATTATGTTGTATTGTATGTTAGAACTTAGAATCTGAATCAAAAATTCGTTATACAACGATTCTAGGAATCAATAGAAAACATAAATAAATTTATAAAACAAAGACCGAAATTTGCATATATATATGTATATATATATTTGTATATATAATCGAAACAATAAAGAAAACGATGACTAACTCAATAATCTCGATAAAAACTTGATGAAGATCGTAGATTAGATTGAAGCCTGCAATTGCAGTGTCTTTAAGTAGAAATCCGTTCAATGTAGTCTTGAATTAGTGGATGTCTATCTAGAGAATTCAACAACCGTTCTGTTAGACAAAATTAGCCCATAATTTTATGAATGTTTTATAAAGATTTGTATTTTAGGCTTTTAGGGAATTTATGGGCTTGAACTATTTGACTTGTAAATGACCTTATATATAGGTGTCATGGACTAAGATTTTAGGGTTGTTCATTCTATTTCATTTTATATGAGAGTCGTCTATAAGATTGAGAGAGCTTTGTATTTTATGTTTTCATGAATAAATGAATCTGACAGATTTTCATCATGTTCATGTTTATCATCTTTTTCTAATCTAAATCTTGAATATCTACATTTTTATGGAGTTTTTTCAATTGTTGTCAAGTTGAAATCTTACATTTGGTATCAGAGCCAATTGAAGTGAATCTATTTCAGTCGGTCATCTATGGCAACAATTGAAGCTTTTAAGATTAAATTCATGATTTGGATGTTCAAGAATGATCAATCATATGTGCTAAAACTCAATGTATCATTTCTGTGATATTTTTCATTTGAAGGTTGTTTTGAGTTTGTTTGGATTCAATCTCGCGTTTGATGATAGTTGAAGAAAATTTAAGGTTAGATGCTCTTGATTCTTTATGCATTCTGGTTTTGCACTCTACATGTTTGATGAAATGCTTGTGAGAAGATTCAATTCTATTTTTATTTTTCAAAGTCAGATCTTAAAAGAATTTCAGATCTTTGATTGCTTAGAATCAACTTTCTGAAATGATCAATCAGAAACTTGTTATTTGTAATTTTTGTTCTAAAAAGTTTAATGGAGATCGATTATGATGAAAATATGAAAATCAGCATGCTGACAGATTTGTGATGTTGTAGTAAATTGATTATCACTCATCAAGGCACCAATTGAGGCGATTCATGGGGCCCTGGGTAGAAAACAGATGAATTAAAAAGTTTCATGTTTTCATCATTCAAAGATTCGAATAGTAGAGAGGTCATACGCATCATTGAAGTGGACAACAGTGTGCTGATGCAAAGCTGTTGGACAGATCTGTGCGACTGTGGTACATAGATCATATATTATCTGTTTGAGCTCCAAAGGTGATTTCAGATTTTCTGAATAGACAACGAACCAATGTGCACTTTTTATGTTTTGAGTTTTTCCAAACTCCAGAGCTATCATGGTCGGATTTAGTGTGAAAGTTGGTGTAAAGTTGTTGGACAGAAACCTTCTATGTTGATTCGTGTATCAAAGAACACTAGAGGGTAGACCAGAAGGGGGACCAGAAGTAGACCAGAAGGGGAACTAGAGGTATACCAGAGGATCTGGTTATATGGATCAGAGCTTTAATCATAATGGACCAGAGAAAAACTCAAGATAGACCAGAGATAGCCTCAAATCATAAAGAGGTATGATCAGCTTCGATGAACCAAAAGCTCTGGTTATATGGACCAGAGCTCTATACGTAATTGGTGCTTTGCATGTGCTCGTGATGGACCAGAGCTCTCAATGTACCAAATCTCTTGATGTACCAGATC